TAATCCCATTACTTTTCTCTCCTTCACTTTATTAAATGCTTATTTAACTTTTTTGAAGACTATTTTAATTTTTTTAACTATTCAATTAGTCTTTTTGATCACTTTATTAATCATTATAGCTATTTTATTCATCAAAATTAATTTCATTAATATTAAATTATTTTTAGTTTTAATTTTCTTAGGAAACTTAACTATTTTATAAATATTAATCATATAATGTTTAAGATCCTAAAGAATTTTCAAGATCTTAATTTTTTTCTTAAATTTAACTGTTTTTATTTTATGAATTTTCTGATTTTTGAGAAACAAAAGAATTTTAAGAAATTATTTTATTTTATTGAATAAAAATATCTAAATTTTACTAATTTTCTGAATAATCTATTATTTTTTACGAGTTCTATTACTTTTATTAATAATAATTTTAATTTTATGTATTATCAATAATTGAATTGAAATTTTCTCCTTATTATTATTTTTGTAAAATTTTAGATGAAATATGCTCTTCTTATTATTAATTTTAAATTTCTTCTTCGTTTTCAATAAACGAATAACTATTTTAGCTTAAATCTTAATTTTTTAAAAACTTTATTTTACTTACAAATTATCAGATTCTTATTTCTTTAAGAAATTTTAACATTTTTAAATATTATATTATTTTTAAGAACTTTAAGATTTTTCGATATTTTAAGATTTTTAAGAAATTTAAGATTTTTACATTATTTATTTATTTTATGAAATTTAGGATTTTTGAGAAAATTATGATTTTTACGAAAATTATGATTTTTACGAAATATATGATTTTTGAGAAATTTATGAGTTACTTTTCGAAAAAAAATCATCAAATATAATTTCGTTTTCTTATGGGTTTGATGAAGAATCGACTTCTTATTTTTTATTAAAGTTATGATTTTTATTAACTTTTTAAAGTTCAAATTATTCAGAAAACTAAGAAATTTGAGAACTTTTAGAATTTAAATCATTTAAATCATCCCAATTAATGACATTTTATTCATTTTAAGTATTTATTTCCAGATTTTAGAAGGATTCATTTTCAGAAACGTTTTAATTTTCTTTCATGAAATTATCCTAGTATGTATGCTAATCTTACGAATAATTAGAAACTTATTAACTTTCTTAATAAGACTAATTAAAATCATCCAAATTAAAAGACTTTTAGTTTTATAAAGAATTTTAATTATAATAACTATTATCTTTTTAGCTTTTATTAACTGAAATTTGGTTTTAAATTATTTATAAAGAAATATCTGATAATTAAGATTTAGTTAAAGATTTTAAACTATTAAATTAATCAAAATCAATTAATTAATTTTATTAGTCTTATTTAATTTATTCACTTTTTTCTTCGTTTTTTTCTTCATTTTTTTCTTCATTTTTTTCTTCACTTTTTTCTTCACTTTTTTCTTCGTTTTTTTCTTCAATTTTTTCTTCACTTTTTTCTTCGTTTTTTTCTTCACTTTTTTCATCACTTTTTTCTTCACTTTTTTCTTCACTTTTTTCTTCACTTTTTTCTTCACTTTTTTCTTCACTTTTTTCTTCGTTTTGTTATTTTTTTTGTGATGATTCTTGTTCTTTTTATGAATTTTATTCTTAAAAGGAACTATATTCATTTTTATATATTTTTTAATAATTTTCTAGTTATTTTTAAGAATCTAGTAATTTTTAAGAATTTTCATCTTCTTTTTATGAATTTTGCAATTTTTATTAAGATTTTTCTATTTTTTAGGAACTTTTTATTTACGAATATTATAAATAAGATATTTATTTTATGTTTTCTTATTAATCATTTATTTTTTATTATTTATTAGAATTATTAATTTAATCATTTATCTTTTATTATTTATTAGAATTATTAATTTTATCTATTTAAGAATCATTTAAATTAGACAAATTTTTTTCTTTAGAAAAGTCTTTCATTTGATTTTTTTGAGTATTTGAATTTTTCGATTTTTATGATTCAAAAGAAACATTAATTATTTGTTTTTCTTAATCAATATCCTGTTTTTATAAAATAATATTATTTTAAAATACTTCTGAATTTTTTAAAAAAGAATCATTTTTTTATTCAGAAAAATTACTTTCTTATTAAAAATCGGACTCATTTAAATTATCTTATTAACACGTTTTTATTGATTTTTCTTGTTCATCTTGTTTTTTTTCTTCATCAAAGTTATGTATATAAGAAATTTCATTTAAACTTATATCTTCATTACTTTTTAAGAAATTTTGTTATTTTTAAAAACTTTAATTAGTTTTATTTAATTTTATATTTTAATGCTTTTTTTTATTATTTTAGTTTTATTAAGAATAATAAGAGATTTAAGAATATGTTTCAATATTTTATTAGTATATGCTTTTTCCTTTTGATGTTTAAGAAACTTAGCTTAATCCCATAAAATCTTCCCATCTTTTATCTTAAGATATATTTTAGCTTTATTAATAGTTTTAAGAAAATTAAGAAATTTTAGATGCTTCTTGATTAAAAGATGATTATTTTTAAGAACTTTCAGATTTATAATCCATAAATTAATCAGAATTCAAAATATCAGCTTTTTTTATTTAAGAGATTTATTAAGAATGAATATTTTCTGAACTTTTATGTTATTTAAATTAATCTGAAAATTAAGAAACAGAACTACTATTATTATTTAAATCATTTAGTTAATCCCATAAATATCATTTTAATTGTCTTATTTTAAGAAGAATTTTTACTTATATTAGAATTAATATTTTCCTAAAAAATACCACTCTCTTATTATTGTTAATATTAAGGATTATTTTTATATAAAGAAGATTATTTATTTTGTAAAAATTATGCCGAATTTTTATTGAAGTTCATTTTTTTAGAAATTTTATATTAGTCTTCCTATAAAGATTATAAAATGGTTTTTTTTTCAACAATAATGTTAGTTTTTGGGGGTATTTTAGAATTTTAAAATGCACTTTTTTAAATATCTTCTTCAATTTAAATAAATTCTAAACTTTCAAAATTATTTACGCTTTTACTTTTTTGTTTTTTTATTATATTTAATTTTTATTAAAGCCTTAGAATTTAAAATTCTCCTTTTTAATATCTTTTATGGAGTTTGCGACTTTTTCAATTTATAAATTATCACTTTTACTTTTTTTTAATTTTTAAAATTATAATATAAAAGACAATGATTTTAAACTTTCCTCCTTCTTGTTTATAGTGGTTTTTATTTTTACTTCTCCATTATTAATTTTTTCACTTGGTTTTACTTATATGTTTTCAGTATTTTTTACTAAATCTTGTTTATTAAATAAGAATTTCAAACTTTTTTCTTCTTTTTCATCTTCTTCATCTTCTACTTCTTCTTCTTCTTCTTCCTTCTCCTTAGAATTTTAATTAGATTAGTATATTATAGAAGATTTTTATTCTTCTTCTTAAAAAGATTACATATTACTGAAATTTATTTAATTTTTTGAAAACGTATTATCATTTTCACTTTCACTTTGTTATATTGATTAAAAATCATCCAAATTAATATTTTGAAAATTTTCATTTAACTTTTTTTTTAATTTTTTCTTATTTTATTTTTTTAATTTTTCTTACTTTTATTAAAAAATTCTTTTAGAAATTATCTGTTGTATTATTAATTTTTATTTATATTTCATTTATAAGTTAATCTTTTGTTTGATTTTCATTTATTTTTTAAATACATTCTTTTATATAATCACTATTTTAAAGTTGATCTTATGCATTTTCTAAAAATCCACTTATCATTTTTTTTTAAAAAAAAAAAAAAAATAGTATAAATTAAATATTTATATATATTTATTTAAAAAATAAATAAATTAAATATTTATTTTTTTTTAAACAAAAAAAAAAATATTTTAATTATTAAAAAAAATAAGAAAAATATATAAGTATACAAATAAATGGAAAATGTAATAAATTCTCCTTCTTAAAATCTAAATAGTAAATAATCCTAATAAAAAAATAATTAAACAAAAATTAAAAATTAAATAAAAAGATCTTCCATTAAATGAATTATATCAAATAATCATGAAAAAAAAAAACATTAATTAATTAGATACCTACTAAACTCCAAAATCTTATTGTTCATATAAAAAAGATTAATTAATGTCCATTTATTAAAAAGCAATAGAAACAAAAAATACAAAATCATATGATAGAGGTTTTTATTTATAAGAAATCATTAAAAATGCAGCCAACTCACCATCCTCTGTCCAATATTCAAATTAGAAAAAATGGGCATATTCAAATGAGGAACTATTAAAAATGGGTAAAATACCCAATATATAACGTTTTTCAGCAAAACGGACATTTTTAGGACAAATTTTTATTAATTCTTAAAAATCTCCAAGTCCAGGAGTAGGATTTTATTAAGTAAATTAAAATCCTTAATATTTTAAGGTGATAAGATAAAAAAGTAAATAATAAAAAGAAAAAAAAAGGGAGTTCTTTCTAAATGAAATCGAATATTTAGGGGATAAAATTCCTGGTCCAGGTTCATATAATCCTCACAATCAAATTCGTAAAATAAAAGTGGACAAAAAAGATCTTCATTTTTGGAAAATGAAACATTCTTAAAAATCTCCTCTTAAAAATCCCCATTTAAAACCTGGAGTTGGCACTTATAATCCACATCCAGTTATTTATAGGACTTTTGGGAAACTATATGATATAGAACTTAAGAAAAAAATAAAAAAAAATAATCTAATTCACCACCCAAAATAGGAAAAGAATTACTTCATACAGGATTTGGAATTGAAGAAAGGTTTAAAAACACCTTTAGGCAAAAAGGTCATTTTAATTATTGTTTCCCAGGACCCGCAAGCCATAATACTATAGTAAAATGGGCTGAAAAAGATGAAAAATATGGTTATAAAAAAAATATGTTTTAATTAATTCATAAAGGATGTAAAAAATCTATTTATTATGATGATTATTTTTAAAATAATTCTTTTTGAATATATTATATTATTATATATATAAATCAAACTTTTTTAATAAAACAAATAAATAAATAATATATATTATATGTATATATAATAGATTTTTAAATTTCATTTTTTTTATTATTTTTTTCATTAATTTTCTATGCTATCGAATGATGAAGAATAATCACTTTAGAATTTTTTTTACATAAAATAATCTGCAGAATCGAATTTGGTTTTTTTCTTATTTTTTTTTTTTATACATATAAAAATATATCATTCTTTGTTACTTCTTTTTATATTAAAGATAATTTCCTTTTAAAATTCTAAATTGTCCCGTATTTTTCTTACATTGTATTACATGCATTTTATAATGCTTAATTGCTTTTTTCTGTCATATCTTTTTCATTTATATCATTTGCCTTTTATTATTCTTTTTAGCCATATAATTAAATAAAATAATCTGCTGAATCAAATATATCTTTTTTCTATTTTTTTATCTTTATTTTATTTTTATTTTATTTTGTTTTTTACTTTGTCTGAAAGTCGCTTTTATCTTAATTTTTTTAATGCTATTTCTACTTAATAATGATCATCTATTGGATAATTCATTTATTTTTTATATTGATGATATTTTATTGACTTTTTTGTAATTTTTTTTTTATATTATTTATTATTTCCTTATTCTAAATTAATACTTTTTTTTTTTTTAAAAAAAAAAAATTAATATTGCTATTACAATTATTATTAAACGATATAGTTTTTCTATATTTTTTTCTTATAAAGAATTTATAATACAAAAAATTATAATTTATATTAATTTCTTAATAAGAAAAACATTGCAAACTTACAATAAAAAAATAGGAAAATATTTAAATTATTAATTCATTAATATTTTATATAATAATAAAAAATTATGTATTTAATTAAATAAATATTTTAAAGAAAGAAACATTAAATTTATAGGAAAAAAAAATATATATATAATTTAAAGAATAATAAATTATTTTAAATCAGTGAAAATATAAATTTTTTATTTTAAATAATAAATAAATCAGCATTAACACAAATTTTTTATTTTAAAAAAAATATATTACTAACTTTTTTTTAAAATATATTCACATTATACTATACTTATAAATTTATAAAATTTAAAAATATTTTAAAATATATATCAATTACAATTATAGATCTATATAAATTATGAATTAATAAAATTATAATTTTTTTTAATTAAATCTATATTAAAATAATAATATAATAAAAATTTGAGTTTCAATATTATTTTTTTGACTATATTAATTTAAAAACTAAAGAAATTTATTTAAATATATATAATTTTAAAAATATTTAATAATTAATTAAATAATGTAAATGTATTTTTTTACCTATATTTATTATTATTTTATTTTTTCCTTTTTATAATTTAAAAATTTTTAATTTTTTAATTCTTTTATATTAAATCATATTTTCATTTATTTAAAAAAATGGATAAAAACTAAATAAATTAAAATATTTAAATAAATATAAACTTTAAATTAATATTATTAGTAGATTTAAGTATTTAAAATAAAGATATAAATATTATAATTAATTTATTTTATTGATTTTTAGAAGACAAAAATTATAAGATAATATTTAACAAATATAAGTGAAAATAAATTAATATATACGCATGTATGTGGATATTATAAAAATAAAATATATAAATATAAATAAAAATTTTAATTTTTAAAATATAGAAAACAGTAAAAAATATGTGAATCAGTAAAATATAAAAAACTCTTATTTAACATTTATATCAATCGAAAATATAAATAAAATAGACAATATTTATATAGAAACATCTAATAGTATTTTTTAGATTATGATATTAATTAGTATTTAAAAATAAATAATATAAAGAATAATTAATCTATTTTATTTTGTTTGTTATTTTTTTTTAAAAAAAACATAATATTATTTTTAGAGTTTTAATAATTTGAAAAAAGAATAAAAAGAGTTATCTGGATATTATATAAATACAATTATATTAATAAAATTGATTATTAAAATGATTAAATGTTTTATATACTTTAAAACCATTTTTTTTACTTCTTTATAAAAACGGGATACTTTACAAGTATTAGATTTTAATAATATAATAATATAATAATATAATATAATTTTTTAAAACTAAGAATTTAATTTTAATAAAGTAAAATAAATTTTTAGATTTAATTTTATAATGTTTAACTGCATTTAATAAATATTTAATATATGTTGATAAAAGGAGTAGAATATTTTATAACTTAAAGAAAATATAGAAGAAATTATAAATAATAAAATTAATATTATAAAATAAATAACCAAAGGATTTATAAAAAAAATAATACAAATAGATTTTTTTTATCAAAAAAAATAATTAAAAAATAATGTGGTTAGTAAATATCTTTATAATATTTTTTTTTTAATAAATAAAAATAATATAGCATAATAATATGAATTATTTATAATTAAAAAATATATTATATTAAAATTTTATTTAAATAATGAATATTATTAAATAATTTAAAAAAAAAAAAAAATAATATATTTCATATATAATTTGAAATATGATTTTTTAATCTAGAAAATAAAATAATTATAAAATATGATTTTTTTAATAAAATAAATATTTTTTTTATTGAATTTTTTTTAAAATAAAAAATATGTTTCTAAAATTTAAAATTGAATTTATTTTAAACAAAATAAAATAAATTTTCTTAGAAATAAAAAATACATTTTAAAATATTTTATTTAAAAATAATAACATCAAAAAAAATAAACAAAATTTTTAGAAATAAAACATAACAATCTAAGAAAAAATAAAAGAGAATTTTTTATTTTTTTTTTATTTAATGCAAATAATCTCTAAAAAAAACAAAAAAAATATATATGTCTTCTATATTTATAAAATATATTTAATAAAATAAATTCCTCCAAAATCAATGCTTTGAAGCTTTAGGAGGAGTAACTCCACCACCAGATGCTGCTAATCCCATAGATGTTTTAAAAGTGTCATAAATCCACCATTAAAGACCAGTAAGGGTACCAATCATAAAAATTCTGGTTCCTAATCCTGCCCATAATCCTTTAAATCCTATTTCGCCATAAATTCTGGAAACATTTTCGCCTAAAGTGCCAGTTCCTTTTACTGAATTAAGTTTTGATACCATAGTATCAGCAGGGTGTGAAACAATAGCGCAAAAGATACCAGCGAGATACCCAGAAGCAAAAGTAACACCCAATTATTAACCTTTAGAGTATTCACTTTTTGGTCTAGTGAGTAAATAAGTGTAGAAGAGTTCTACGATTTATTCGAAAGCAACGAATTTAACAATTGTATAAGGTACTTATCTAGCCCAAAGGGGTCCTAATCCTTTATAAAGCCCTTAAGATCCTTCATTGGTCAATATTGAATTAAAAGCAACTGAAAATTTGGTAGTGAAAGTGCCTGGTTTAGATGTTTACATTCTTACTTTAGCAGCTTCGAAAGGACATAATAAGACATCGGCAATTACTTCGGCACAAGCGGATGAAATTGACCAACCGATTCTTCTATATTTAACAGAATTTTCTTCTCCGACTATTCCTTTGTATACGTCTTTGAATATTTCGTAAAATCCGAACTTTCCGAATCCTTATAAAGAATAACCAATAAATGTTGGAATCCAACCTAAGGCTAATCCTTTTCCTCCCATTCCTTCAGTGGCTCTTAATTGAGATAAACCATCACCTAAAGATTTATACATTCCAGGAAAAACCTTTTTTTATTTTATTATTTATTATGATTTTTTGTTTTGTTTTTTTGTTTACTTAACGACGACATTTTACAACGTCTAAAGGTACAATGGCTGTGTGAGTTAATCCACAAGCAAGAATTCCTCCCATCATACATTTGGAATAATAAGATAAATCATGTACGTCTCCACCCATTTATTATATATGTATATTTTTTTTTATTTTATATTTTTATTTAATTAAAAAAAAAAATATTTAAATGTCTTTGCAATTTTTCTCTTTATTTACTTTTTACTTTTTATTTATTTATTTGCTTTGATTTATAAAATAAAATTTATTTTATCCCCTTTTTTATATATTATTTGCTTATTTTTTTACTTCTTTATCTAATAAAAAAAATATTATATAAATATTTTTGTGATTTATTAATGTTAATTTATTTTATATTTTTTTTCACTGTTTCTAAACTTAAAAAAAAAAAAAATACTCAAAATTTTTTATAATTATACACTTTTATCAAAATAATATACATTTAATTTTAATAATATCTATAAAAAGAATTTTCACTTAATAAAACTTATATAGAAATATAAAATAATGTTTTTTTTTTTAATAATATAATATCTATAAACAAAAATGATTTTACAATACAAATATAATATTGTATCAATATATAACAAGAAATTATTTCCAAAAAAATAAAATAAAAAAAATAAACAAATTAATCATTTTTTTTGTTAATTTTCATAATCTCCACTTTTTTTTTAAATTGTTTTTGCTTTTATTGTCCTATTATTTTTTAATAACTTTCTATTATTCAATTTATTATGATTAAACTTAAAATTCTATTTCTTCTACTGAAATTCCCCTTCCATTTTCATCTTTCCACAAACCTTCATATACTCGAGTTTCTTTTATTTTTAAATCTTTATGAGTCTAATCAGTACCAAAATTGTTTCTACTTTGTTTTTATGAAAATTCATCTTCATCCTCATCTTCGTTTTCCTAATCATATTATTCATATTCGTCTTATTCGTCTTCTTCACTTTCTTCTTTGCATCCATTTTTTTCGCTTTCTTCTTTTTCTTCAAAAATAGGCCAAATAAGAGTTCCTTTTCCATATATTTGATCATTTAGAAAGCTTCCTTTGAATTTAGCCTAACTTTTTTACCAATAAAATGTTCCTTATCCATGATTTTTTCCTTTCATCCATTCTCCAAAATAAATATTTCCATCTTAATAAAATCTTACTCCTAATCCTTAAATTTCTCCATCTTTAAAATTTCCGTAATGTTTAGCACCTGTAGGCCAGTAATAGATTCCTTTAGTATTTAAAAATTTATATTATATATATATAAGAATATTATAATATTACCTAGTCCATTATATTTTCCTTCGAAAAATTCTCCCTCATATATTTCTCCATTAGCCCACCAAAAAATACCCCAACCATGTAATTTTCCTTAATATTTTTCCCCTTAATAACGATGTCCATGTGCAAGATAATCAATTTAGTATTTTCTTTCGATTCCTTTTAAATTAGCATTTACTTATTGGTCTATTTCATCTTGATATTCTTGGGGTAAAGTAGTGAAGATTTTTTAGATTTTTGATTGGTCTTCTTGATCGTCAATTTCGACCTTATATTATTGATTTTTCTGTTTGCTTTATTGATATTATAATTATTACTATATTAGTTTATTTGCTGATTGGCTTTAAGATTTTTAATCCTTTATTTTTTTAATTTAAAAATATATTTTTAAATATTTACTAGAGTGTCTCGAAAACCACTTGCCATAATATTACTTTATTATTATTTTTTCAAGAAATTGCTATTTGTTGTGATAGGGCTTTAATCATTATATGAATTTATTTATTTTTTAAAAAACATATTAAATTGTTAATTTTAGTGTTTTTGATTTTTTGTAGTAGGAGCTCCATTTATAAAATGATTTTTTTTTTATTCATTTTTATGATCAATATTATAATCTTCAAGGTTATTGTCAGAAAAATTAAACTTTTTATTTATGTATTAATTTGAAAAATAAAATAAAATATTAATTACTTTATGCTCTGTATTATTAAGTTCTTATTCCATTTCTTATAAATTCTAAGATTATAAAAGTTAAATAATATCATAAGCAGTCAATCTCATTTATTAGTCAAAAATAAGCATTTTTTTAATTACTCCAGTCAAATTATATCCATATAAATCTGAAAAATTAATCAAAGCATTATAAATAACATCTTCATTCATTTAAAATTTTCCATAAGTATCATAAAGATATTCATCAAAAGTTCCAATTTCAAGCATCATCATTCCAAATGAAAATATTTCTGATTTAATTCTAATAATTTATATTTTTTTTATATAAAATTATATATATACTAATCATATTTAGATTTCTCATAAGCAAATCTACAATTTTAAGCAATATGATATTCCGGTGAATGATAATAAGGCTCATTTTTTTTTCTTGGTTTTACACCTGCAGGTATTAATTTATATTCTCCTTATTCATTTTTTAATATATTACAAGTTCTTAAATCTCCATGTACGATTTTTTATTTATGAAAATAATTTAAACCAGTCGCTATTGTTTCAAAGATTTTTCTTAATGTTAATTTAGGCATTTATTTTTTCCTTTTTTTTAAATGCTGGATTTCTGTTTCTACAGAACTTTCTGAATATTCAAAAATTAAAAAATATTTACAAAAAGGATCGCCTAAACTTTCCTCAGCAAAAACACGTGAATAATATTTCATTTAAAGAATGTCCTTTTGGTTTATATCTAATAAATTTTCGCAAAACTCTTCGTATTTATCTATTGCTTTTACACCTCTTTAATCTATTTCTACATAATCAAACATTTTATTTGTACTTTTTTGTTGGATTTGACAGGCTTTTTCTAAACCTTTTAGACCCGTTAAATGAACGAATTCAAACTCTTGAATAAATGTTTCATATTCAATTATTTTTTCTTTTTTTTAATGGGAAATTATCTATATTTAAAATTTCCATTTATTCAAATATAATTAACGCTTATTTTATATAAATATTTATAATATATTATAATTTTTTTTTTTATATTTTTTTTTTTTAATAGAAAATATATTTTATCATATATATCTATAGTTATTATCTTCAACGTTATATTTGTATTTAACTTTGACTATTTCTTCATTTAAACGATAAGAGTATTTATTTTCAACGATCTATTTAATTTGTATAACTTATCTTTCGAAATCACTAAATACATGAAGATCATATTTCTTATTTAATTAAACTATTTATATAGTCTTATTATTCCAGTATTCATAATTGGTAATTTTACTTTCGTTAAAAACATAATAAATACAGGCTGAACAAAGTCTACTTTATTAATTAAATAAAGAGCTAAACTAGAAGTCCATAAGAAGAAACTACATTAATACAATGCTCTTTTTTTTTTTTTTTAAAAAAAAAAAAACAATATATATATATTTTTTTTTCTTATATATAAAAATAAAATACCTATAAATAATCCATATGACCATATTTATATATCATCCAATATTATTTAAGGAAATCTAAAGGAGTGCAAATCTTCATATTGTAATTGAAAAAAACAAAAATATCTTATTCTATTTTATATACTATTAATTTATCAGTAATAAGATTTACTTCGTACAATTTCTCATCCAGTTAAACTTTCAATTTAAGTATATAAATCATAGCATTATACATCTATATTAAATATTCAAAAGGCAATTCATTTATATTTTATAGTTTTAAGGCAATAATACAGCATGAAATACATATTAATTTATATTAATTTTGTGGCATTTTAGAATTTTAATCTTAATACTTGTTGAATTATTATCTTTAGTAATAAAATTTCATCATGTATTAATCTAAATAAGTAACAGCTAAAAAAAATACACTTTTGCTGATTTATAAATTATCTAATGTTTGCATTATAATAAAAAGTAACGCCTCTCTATAATCAGTATCTATAAAGTTAACCATTTCATGATAAATAAATAAGGGTTATTGTAATTAACTCTTTTTTTTTTAGTTATAATAAGAAAAATTTATTGATATTTTATATTTATTACTTGCTTAATTTCAAATTAACTAAATAGATCCTTTCTATATTCAGGTATTCGCATTTAATTTTGTAAGTCTTGATAATCAGCCGGAGGCAATGTCTATTAAAGAAATTCTTTAAGTTTTTATGTTTGTTTTTCATTTTAGATTTAATAAAATTATTGAACTTATTAAGGTTAAAAAGGTGAAAAGTTTCTGGATTTCTTTTTTTATTATTAAAATTATATTTTTATTTTTAAATTTAATATTTTATACTTTGTTTAACATTTTATTTCAATTAATTTTTATTTTGTAATTTTTATAATTTTTTAATTTTGTTTTGTTTTATTTTGCGGTTTATATAAAATACTGTTTATGCAAAATCAAAATTTTAGAAATTTTAAATACTTGAGAATATATTTTGAATTAATATATTTTTTATATAAAATAATTATTTTTAATAAATAGTCATCTTTAATAATTTAAAAATAAATATGTATTGCTAGTTATTAACAAAATAAATTCAATAAACATATATTTTAATAATATTTAATTATATTCTTAGTAAATTAATTTTAATTAAAAATATATTTTAAAATAGTTTTAAATTATACTAAAAATTCTATACTTTTTTTTTATAAAGAAATATAAATAATCCTAAAAATTTTAATGTTTGTAAATAAATATGTTTTTTATTCAATTTGTTATTTTTAAATAAAAAATTGTTGATATTTAAATATAAAAAAATAAATTTTAGTTTTAAATTGTTAAAGATTATTTTATATAGCATATAAATAATTTACAAAAACAAAAAATATTAATAAAAATTTGTTTATTAATAAATATATTATTTAAATCTAAAAATATAGATATAAAATTAAATAATAATTCTATTTGAAAATATGATTTTAGATGAAAATAGATTGTTTTTTTATAAATTATTAATAAAATATAAAATTATTTTATTAGAAATATATATAAATAAAATAAAATATTAAAAATATATTTAAATAAAATAAATTAAAATTAATATTATTTACTTTATAAAAATAAAATGCAATAAATACAATATAATAATTATTAAAATATATTAAAAAAAAAATAAGATATATATGCTTATTTATATATATAGATTAAATTAAAAAGAATTTCAATTTGTATTAAGGTTGTTTTATTTTTATAATTATTATATAATTACTTCCTTTTCATGCAATTACAATACAAGAGATTCTATTATATTATAAAGAAATTTAGGATTATTAATTTATTATTATGCCATTTATATAACTTAATTCGTTTAAAAATCAACTGTACTTTATTTTTGCTCTATGTTATTACTAATTTAACTTTCATTTATTTTTTCATTACTTGCTTAACTTTTCTAATTATTTTATTCTTCTAACATTACATCTAATAATATAAAAATTATAATTTTTATTTTCTTTATATAAAAAACGTATATATATTTATATAAATATAAGATGTACCTATCATAGATTCATTAAAATTTGTATCATTTGTTAATTCTTATTTTTAATAATCAAAATTATTTATATTTTAATAATTTTATTCCATACTATGCATTTTTAATATATAATCAGTGGTATTATGTGGCGAATCACATAAATTTTTATATTAAATTTTATTTTTTGTTTGCTTTTTGGAATAAGATGACAATTTTTCAGAGCTTTATTTTTCTAATTTATTAGTATCAAATTCATTTTTATTTTTCGATTATGTCACGTCGTTCGAAGGTTCCTTTGAGACTTTTATATTATATGAAAATTTACGTATTCTTGAATTTTATTTTTATGGTTATTACATTTAGTTCTTATTATCCTCTAAGTAATTTTCGAATTATTAAAAATCAGATTATTGGTCTAAATAATAGTCATTAAATATCGATTTTTTTTACTATATATATTAAATTTTCATTATTTATTTATTTCTTCAGGAAATGCCTTTTATTTTTGTATTTTGAGTAAACGATCTATAGTCTAATTTTTTATTATTTAAACTAATTATAAAATAAATTATTATATATATATATATATAAAATAAACTTAGCATATATATAAATATATCTATATAATGAAAAAAATTTATTAAAAAAAAAGAAAAATAAATTAATATATTATATACCTATATATCTATTTATTTGTTTTATTTTTAATTTTTTTGTTATATTACATTTTTTTTTAATTTTATATAATTTATTTTAATAATATATGTATTTTTTATATATATTAAATTTATTATAAAAAAAAGAACAAAATAAACATGAAACAAAAATATATTTCAAAATATATTGCAATCAAAAATTTAAGGTACACGAATATCTCCTGTAACAGAATTAGTAGTAATAATATTTTACAAAGCTTAATTTCTTTTTTCCATAACTAATTCAATTTCATTACTTTTTATAATGTTATCATGAATTTTTCCACAACTTTTATCTCTTATAAAAAGCCCAATTCCATCATTGTCAGATATCATATTTTTAAAAATTGTGGGTTTACTATTTTTTATTAACATAATACCTTATTTTTTAAATAATAAAACATATATATATTTTTTGGTTAAAATAAAAAAAATACCATTGCTTTTATTTTTACTAATTTCATTTTTTGTTATTTCTGGAACAGAAGACATACATACAATACCATCATTATTTTCACTTATAGTATTATGCATAACCCAACAATCGCCTCCTTCTACAATAAAAATACCTTCGCATCTTCCTCCAGTAATGATATTTCTTACAATATATGTGTTATGAGAATTCATACCTCCTAAAGCTATATTGGCTTTTATATTATCTGTAATTTCATTTTTTTCTATCATAGCAGAGCTTGTTTCTACTAATAAAATACCCTTTTTGTAAAATTAATTTTTTTTTTTTTTTTTTCATGTACTTATTGCAAATTTTTAGTTATTTTATTTTTGAAAATTGATATTTGAGAATCATCATCTGCTTTTATTCCGGCTTTTTTATTATATCCTATAAAAGAGTTTGATTCTATTCTAGTATAATTGTTTTTTCCTTTACAATTTATGCCATTTTCTTTATTTCCACATATGCTTAGATTAGTTTTTATTTTTCCATCACATCTTTTAAATATTTTAAAATATAAATATATTTTAATTAATTTAAAATAAAATACCTTGATCCATTAAAACTACTTGTTTATATTCCATCTGTTAAATTTTTGTCTATTTTATTTGAAAATATGAACGGATCTCCTGAAACTACCTCTATCCCTATTTAATTTAGTTTAATTTCGTTTCTCACTATTGAACTTTTATTCGCTATACCTATACGAACTCCTGGTCCATTATTATTTTCAATCTTATTTCCTTCAATCATGACTTAAGCGTCCTTTTTTATATGTATAAATATATGATTTTTTTATTAAAAACATTTTTATTTTTTTATTACTTCACCAATACAATGTATTCCTACTTTTGTATTCTTGTATATTTTAGAATTCGAAATTCGTACATCATTCTATTTTTTACTCCAAATTAAAATTCCTCCCATTAAATGTCCATACACCTTAGACTATTCTATTATTGCATTTCCTTTTTTAACTAAAATGCCTATTTTTTTTAATAATTTTTATTAATACATATAGATTTATATATACAAATATAAATATAAATATAAATATAAATATAAATATAAATATAAATATATATATATATATATATATATATATATATATATATAAATATAAAGAAAAATAACTATAATTAAACCTATTGTTTCATGATTATTATTTCCTTTTATTTCTACATGATTAAAATTAATTGTTCCTCTTTCTGCTACTACTACTGCAGGTAAAATATTTTTTTTATTATTTACAATAAAGCTTTATTTTGGGAAAAAAAGTATAAAAAAAAAAATAAGCAAAAATTTATATTTAAATAACTTTAATGAAAGTAAACAATTTTCCATTTTTAAAGTTCCTCCTTAAACAAATACTATTGTATTCATATCTTTTTCTATCGGAAATTTATTTGCAAGTTCATTTTCTGGATTAAAATTTTAATATTAAGCAATGGCATCTTATTATCCTCCGAAAGCTCCAAATATATATAATTTAAATTCCTTATCATCAATCATTTCTTCGATCTTATTTCTTTTATTATTTTATTAATTAAAATTTATAAAAATAAAAAATTCTTACACATCTTCACTATTACCACTATGACTTAATTTCATTGAACATACTTTGCATGATTATCCAGGTTCTAAATCTACTAATATTGCTGGGTTATTTTATACAACTAATATTATATCTCCTTATTTTTCTTTTGGTTCTAAAGTTAAATCTGCTTTACTTTTTTTTTTTTTTTTAATTTTATTTTAAAGTTTTTTTTTTTTATAATATTACTTAATATATATATTATCATTATATAAACCTGGAGCTATTTTTATTACGCTTCCAGGTTCTGCTGCATTTATTGCTTCTTATATTGTTTTATATGGGCCTGATTCGGAATCTTTTTTTATTTTTTTTGTTTTTTTTTAAATATTTTCAAATAAAAATTAACCTACTATAAAATGATGAACTGATTATTTTTTAAATATATTAGAATCCATTTTTAATGCATCTAGAAGAAAAGGATTTTTAATTGTTAATTTGAGTTAACTTTAAGAAGTTGTCATAAGTTTTATTTTACGTTATAAATTGAAATGAAATAAATTAATTAAAATATATAAACGTATAGAGTTATTTTTTTTATAAAAAAAATTCAATTTTTTTATTTTTTTAAATAAAAATTATAAAAAAATATTTATGCTTTAAAATAAAATTCCATATATAAAGTAAAGATATATAAATATACATGATAATAATAATTAATTTTTCAATTTAGTTCGTCTAAACCTTTAATTTCGCTTTCGAATAACCTTTTCTTATCTTATTATAAACTTTTAAATTCAAAAGGTTCAATAATATTAGTTGTTTAAGAATTGATAACATAACCTTTTAAGCATTTCAGAGATTCCTAAGTATCTTATAAACTAATACCACTAACCGATAAAAAAGATTAATCTTTATTTGCTTAATCAACTTTAGCCTTAGCTTAAGCAACTTTAGAAGCGGCATCTTAAGCAGACTTTATAGCTTTTTTCGCTGCTTCTCTAGCAGCTTGAGCAATATCTTAAGAAGCTTTATTAGTGGCATTAGCGGACTTAATAGCAGCATCTTTATTAATTTAAGCTGCTTTTTTAGCAGTAGATTTAGCAGTCTATTATGCGGATATTACTGCATTTTTAAATTTTTATAAGGAAAAATCAAAAGCTGTTTAAGTAACATTATCAATTACTTAAACTCCATTTTTAATCCACATAATACTTGAGGCAGGATTTTTTTTATCATTTTATTATGGAGCTAATTGACTTGAGTAAATACATTTATCACTTTCTTTAGTAAAAACACTTGTATAATAAATACCTAATTTCAAAGACAAAGGATTTATGGATCCATCTAATGTAATTTTTCCTTTGAATTTTTCTAATGCATTTAATTCAATAGAAGTTTCTAGTTTAGCATCTAAAATTGTCCCTTAAGCATATCCTCCGACTTGGGCTACATAGACATCTCCGACTATTTAACTGTTTAAGATTACTTTGGTGTCTATTGTAGCTTTTAAGTTCAATATAGCCTATCGGAATTATATGTCAAAGCTCATCTTAGTAATTGAAGTAGCTTCTAATAATAATTTAATTCTGATTCCCATTGGGGTATTATAATATTAAGTGAATTAGATTGGAACTTTAAATTCTATGTATATTATTTTTATTTATTTATTTTTGTTTGTTTTTTTTTTTTATTTACCTGGTGTTTTTACTTGGTCATTGAAATCTAATGTATTTTTTATTTCTAAAATTTTGTCTTGAAACATTTTCTAGACATCAGTTTTTTATTATTTTAAGAATTCGTCTAATTTATCAATGTTTTTTGCCAAATCATCACCCTTTTAAAATTATTTTTTAAATATGATTTTTTTAATAATGTGATAAAATAAATTGAATACCTGTAAACTGATTTATTAATATGCTTACATTAATTAATTTAAAGAATTATCTTTTTCTGCCTATTTTGAAGCGAATGTTGATTTAGCAGCAGTTACTTAAGAAAGAATTGTATTTTATAATGCTTATCCTTCTTTATTAATATTAAGAAAAGAAGATTTAAGAACAGAGTATTAATCAAAAGGTTTTTAAGTAAATTATTTCAAATCATTTAATATATATTAGAATTTATTCGGAAGAGCTTTAATTCTTAATATTTAGTCACTAATTCCTATAAAACCATTGAATCCACCTTAGTTTTGATTAAAAACAGTATTTATTTAATTAAAGATATTATTAATATTGGAATATACGCTATTCTATATAATAATTATTTTTAATAAAAAAATTAAATTAATAATATATTTTTTACTTATAAAACATATCCATTCCCAGGTAGAGCAGGGTTAGATAAAATTGATTTCATTTCATTATAAACAGCTTTTAAATCATCAAGGATAATATTAGAAGCTTAAAGAATTTCTTTATTCTATACAGATAAATTATCTAAAACATTTTGTCCAATTAATTCGACTTTTTAAAGGGTTTCCGTACTTTTTTAAATCGAAGTTCCAGTAAGCTTATCAGAAAAATTAATTAGAGTTTTGGAATAATCAATAATTTTTTATTTAATATCATTTCCAATTTAAGATTTTAGATTAGAAATTAAATTATCGATTTCTTATTGGAATTCTTTAATTCCTGAAAGAAGGTCATTTTAGATATTACCTTAAATGTTATTCATTTCTTTCGTAATTTAAATGGCTTCATTTTAATTTTGGTTTTCGTCATTAGTGAATTCGATTTTAGAAATTAAATCTAATTTTTCTAATATTTAAGTTTTGAATACTTGTAATTATTTAAGGATATTTGAAGTGAGAAGATTTTAAATTTGTTAATTATTTGTGATTTTTTCAATAAGATCGTATAAAGTTTTTTGGATATTATCAGCTATTCCGGAAATAAGGAAATCTTTAACTTATTAATTAATTTTAATTTTGGAGATATCATCTAATTATTAAGTTGAGTCGTTAATAAGACTTTTTATATCTGAAAATTCTTTTTATTTTTCAATAAAAAATGTTTGAAGTTAGGAGAGGTATTTTCTAACTTAGTTTTCAACTAAATCTTTAAGAATAATATCGTAAGTTGTTAAAAAAGTTCTAATTTTTAATATAAGTTAAGGATTAAGTCCTTTAGTTATTTAATCATCAACGAATTTGAGAAGTTTTTTGTATTTTTCTTAGGCGAATTGATTAATTTGATTTACATAGGCATCAAAATTAATTTATTTAGAACTTAAAAATTATTAGGTTTTTTCTTAGATATTTTTCAAAGGACTTTCAATTAAAGAACTTAAGCTTTTAATGAATTAAGTAACTTCTTTTTCGAAATCTTAAATTTAATTAGCTATTTGAAGTCCTTCTTTAGAAATAGTATCAGAAATTTAAATTAAAATTGGATTTTTTTTTAAATCAATAAACTTTTCTGTTTTATCAAGAATTCCTTATATTGCTATTCTTAAGTTTTAAAATTTATTATTCAAAATATTACTTATAGATTCTATTTTTTTGTCTAATTAAGATATTATAAATTATTAAATTTTGAATATTTTAGTAGCGTTAAATTTTACTTATTTTTATGCTATTACTATTGAATCACTATTAAATGTTTATTTTATGCCTATATTGCAAAAATCTTCTTGTCCAAAAGTTTTAGATTGGAAACATTAAGAAAATAGGTTAGCTCCAAATGCTATTGATGCTATATTTTTCTAAAATATGTTTGCATCTATATTTTGTCCGAGTTTTGTTTTCCCAAAATTACTTTCTTGTTTATCTTGTTAGAGTGATCTTATTTGATTTCTTTATACTACTAAATTTTCCCTTTTAAAAAAATTCTAGTATTATTTAAGAGCTTAATTCCATGTAAATTTAAAAACACTTATTTAAGATTAATATTTTTTCAATAATTCAAGGAAATATTCACCTACATCAGTTTTTTATGATACAAAAGAAACAGTACAAGCTGAAGCAATTTAAATTTTTTTAAATATTTATTATTCATCTTTTTAATTATCTTATAAATGATATAAAGAGTCTACTTAAGTTTAAATAACTCCTCCTAATTCTATGAATTAATTTTAAATATAATTAACTATTTCTTCAGAATTATTATCGAAATGTTTTTCTTTAGTGTAAAAATTCTTCAATACAGCTTATTTTTATCCTAATAATTGGGCTTCGTGTTCCGGATTTACGTTATCTCCATTAAGAGTTCTTTATTTTAATGTACGGGTTCTTTTTTTTAATATACGAGTTTTTCCGTTTTCAGTTTTTTATATTATATTGTATATATCAGCTGATACTCTTGGAATTAACTATTCGAGAATATTAATGTATACTTAATATTAATCGATTCTTAAATTTATTGGGATTTCTAAATTTTCAATTCTACCGTCTTTTAATAAACTGAATCTTATTATCGGGAAACGACTTTAATGGAATTATTCAGCTGAAACTCCACTTTTTTATAATAATTTGATTTCTTATTCGTTTAAAGTACCTTTTTTATTAGGTAAAATATTTAATAATACATATACATATTTATTTATTTTTACTATATTCATTTATTAATTATTAAGTATTTTCATTTTAATTTTAATCGCTATTTTATTTTTATTCACTTTATTATAAATTTCTGAGAAGTTTCTTAACTTCTAAATCTTGAACCATTTCAGGGAAACCAGTGAAAGATCCTGTAAGTTTATCATTATCAAAAATTTGAGTTTTTTCAGGAAATAAAGGTACATATCGAAAGAATCTTCAGTTACATCATTACAGACTAAAGAAACTATATGAATTATGGTAGATTTAGTTTCTATAGGTTTATCGTTTAATTAGGTTGTTTGAGTATTTATTAATTTATATTCATATGTAATTTCTGCTTTTGGAACATGTCTTAACTTTACTATGTTACTAGTTTATCCAGAATTAATTATTCTTTCATAGTTAACGTATTAAGGAGGGGTTTTAATTTACAAGTCTGCTTCGTTATCATCTCTAGATAATATTAGTCCCAATAAAGTTCCTAATATTATTAAAACTGCCAAAAATGCAGTAACTAATATTATTCTTTTTTGTTTTTGACACTTTATTAATAGGTATTGGTTCTTCTATTGGTTTTGTTGGATTTATTTGATTTGTTAGATTTATTGAATTCGTTAGATTTATTGAATTTATTAGATTTTGATTTAGAATTAGATTTTGATCTTGATTATATTCTTTTTTTTTTTTTTTATTAAGTTATTTTATGGAAATATTATATATATAAATATAAAAACATTTTACATTAAGGATTGAATTAGGGAGATAATTAATTTTTTTAATCATATGATTAAACATTTAAGGCTAATTCACTTGCTGTTCCATTTACAAGTACATTTTAATAATGATTTTTCTAATCTAGCTATTGTAAAGCTATATTATTTATCATCTTAGTCTTTTTAGTTTCGTTTAATTTTTTATTATTTAACTTTTATTTTTTTTATTAAAATTTTTATATAATTTTGATGTAAATATAGTTTTTATTTTATCAATTTTTGACACATAATTTTAATTAAAAAATACCATTAATATTATTTAATTTTTAATTTTCATTTTAATTTTTTCCATAAAAAAATAAATTAATAATTAAATCTACTTTTTTTATAATTTCAAAGAATATTCTTTTTATAAAAAACGAAATTAAATATAAGGAATATATATATTTTGTTTTTTAAATAAGAATTATTAAAAAATTATAAATAACAGTGTTTTGTTTATTATTATAATTTATTTTTTATAATTATTAATATATATAGAATTTAATTTTTTTAAATATTGGTTTTTTTTTACTGATTTTTATTTATATGTGTAAAATCTTTATTTTTATCTGTGAATAATTAATTATAATTATTAATATAAATAATTATTTATAAAAAATATTATTTATTTCAAATTGCAATTTATAATAAATATATTAAAAACAAATTATTTTGATATAATAATTTTTTATATATAACTTTACTTATATTATAAAAAAAAAAAATAATTATTAATTTGTTTTATATTAGATATTTAAAAATAAAATTTTATAAATTAATAATTATTATTATAATTTTTGAAATTTTATAAAATAATAAAATTAATTTTTTTTTTAAAAATAGAAATATTGATAAAAATCATTAATTATTTTATTAAAATTCTTATTAATAATATATGTAAGTATTCTAATATATATATTAACCAATTTTATTTTTTTTATAATTTAAATTAATTTATATAAAAATTATTTTTAAACTAAATTATTATTAATATTAACATTGTATATAAATTGTAAAAAAAAAAAGCAAAATAATAATTTCACATAAAAAGTAAGATATAATATCAAAAAATTGTATTTAAAATTTATTTTATTATGATATTAATTTAATTATACATAAAAAATAT